ACATGAAACATATATTGTGTTGCATCATATCCAGCTTTTGAAATCATTTTCTTTTGACATAATGTCAATTTCTTTGGCTGCTTTCCTAATTTGTTTTTACCCATTCACATTCCTCCTTGTTTCAATAAAACAAACAATTAATCCATTTACACACATTGAAATAATTCCAAACAGATAAATCTTTTCAATGTAATTCACAAAAAGAAATGCAATAATAAAACTGATAAAAAACAAAACAATAAATACATTTTGTAATCTCTTAATCATTTGTGATCACCTCTTTTCTGTAACTTATTAAGTTACTCTTTGGCAAAAAAAATATCAATCGGATTCTCGATTTCCAGAAACTCAATCATTTTGTAAATATCATCAGAACCGAAAACACCTTTTTTCATTTTTAGATAAAATGTTTTGTCTGTAATTCCTAGATAATCTGCAACATTTTTTTGTGATTTTCCTTTTTCTGCAATAATTCCTTTTAACTTGTCAGTTCTAACCATTGTATACCTCCTTTCTTTAACTACAAAATGTTGTGTAACTTATCAAGTTACTCATACCTTACACCATAAAATGTAACTTGTCAAGTTATTTTTTTCTTGAATTAAGAAATATTTTATGTTATCATAAAAACACGCTATTTAAAGGATTGGTGGTGATTTCAATGGGAACAATAGGTGACAGAATAAAGAAATTAAGAGAAGAAAAATGTATTTCTCAAACAGAATTGGCTGAAAAGATAGATTGTAGCAAACAGACATTATATAAATATGAGAATGGTATTATTACAAATATTCCTAGTGATAAAATTGAATCATTAGCAAAGCATCTTAATACAACTCCAGGTTATCTAATGGGTTGGAATGAAGATATTGACTATGTAAAAGGACTTGGTGTTACATTTGCTCAATTATACATGAACATTGAAATACAAGAAGCGTTACCAAAACTAATGAAATTAAATCCAGATGATCAAAAGGTTGTCTGTAATTTAATAAATTCTCTTTATGAGAAAGTAACTAGACAAGGATAAATTAAGGGGTAGTAAAGGGGGAATTACTATGGAGAAGAAAACAAATGGTTTAGGAATTGCTGGATTTATACTATCATTGATAGGTTGTACCAGTATACTAGGTGTCATTTTCAGTTTTATTGCATTGATTACTGGAAAAGATAAGAAGAAAGGATTGGCTATTGCTGGTCTGATTATTGGTTTGATTTGGTGTGGTGTTGGTATGTTGTTTATGCTAGGTGTTTTTGCTGTTAGTGAAGAAAATAGTCCTAAGATAACATCTACGGAAAGCGGACAGGAAGAAACAGTTAAAGCAGAATCAGATTCCAATAACAGAGTTAAGGTTGGTGAAACATTCACAAAAGATAAGTTGTCAGTAACATTGGTAAGCGTTGAAGATAATTATACAGAAGAATATTACACACCAGAAGAAGGTAAAAAGTGCTTTAAAGCTACGTTCAAATGTGAAAACAGTGCAGATTATGAGCAATATGTATCAATTTACGATTACAAGTGCTATGCTGACAATACAAGTTGTGAAGAAAAGTATCTTGGTAATAGTAATTTTATTAATGAAAATCTTGGTTCTGGAAGAAACGTAACGTATGACGTATTCTTTGAAGTTCCAGAGAACGCAAAATCTATTGAATTGGAATATAGTAATAGCGTTTGGGATAGCAAGGCTGCTGCAATATTTGTAATTTCAGAATAAAAAAATCGGGTGGAATACTTAATTGTAGACCACCCTTTAAATTACTCATTTTTACTTAATTCACTTACAAAACCATAAATTAAGGCTAATAGTTTCATACTACTAATACTTTTCACAATCTCAATAATCTTTTCTCTGTAAAATTCTTCCATACCAACACTCCAATCTTTATATACTATTTTCACACCCATAATTAGTATATCAGATTAGTATGTCAATCTGTGTCATTTACCGAACATATTTTCGTTTTTTCTAAATCTATTGCCTTGTTAATACAGGTAAATATTGCTATAGCAAGTTTTGAACGAACATTTTGCTCTACTTTAGCATATGATCTGTTTGATAAATTAGTTTTCATCATGATATAAATATCACTTTCTCCATTATGAAGCATCTTAAAAACATTCGTTTCTTCTTCATTCATTCCACCTAATTTTGCTAGAAAATCAATTTGTTCATTAGTTCCCTTGCCATATACAATCTGCTTAATTGTTTTATTGATAATAACCACCTCCCAATAAATATATCAATACTAGGTAATTATATCACGTTTTTTAAGCAGAAACTTAACCACTTTTCGACAAATTTTACGCATATTTCATACTATTTAGTGCAAATCTTGGCTTTTTCAAGACAATCACTACCAAAATATCCATCTATGGTTATGTGATTTCTTCGTTGAAAATCAGTAATAGCTTTATAAGTAAGCATACCTAGTTTACCATCAACAACAAGTCCATAATCACCAAACCAATTAAGGAATTTTTGCAATCTTTTAACCTGAGTTCCTTTGTCATTTAATGTAAACCAACCACGTTTAGGTAACTTAGGGAACTTTCCAGAATAAACCTTTTTCTTTGCAACGTCAGAAACTGTATTGCTTGGAATATCAGCACAATCCTTCAAGAACTTAACCCAAATGTAATCGTTACCATTTACCCAACCAGACCAACCAGGGCAAACCTTAGTACAAACGTCATAGTGACGAACTACATTAGTTATTGGAATCTTATACTCTTTCATTAACTTCTTAACCAACTCTACTGTATTTTTGTATGTCGAATCTGCAATCTTTCCGTTAGTAGAACACATTTCAATACCGATAGAATTTGAATTGCTGCACTTACCAAATAAATTGTTACTTCCGTAATTAACTCCAACGTGCCATGCTCTATCTGTAGGCTTTACAACGCAATACACGCTTGTTTCATCCACAAAATAGTTAGCACTAGCACCTCTGTTTACATCTTGGAAGTATCTGGCATTTGCAACCGCAGTATCAGTTCTGTTTCCTGTGTAGTGAATGACAATAAACTCATTTTTCTTATTTGTCATTTTCGTGTAGTTTACTTTTGTAAACAACTCATAGTATTTATATCCCATTTTTCTAATCAACTCCTTTTTCCCAACAAAAAAGAGCAGCCTTTTCAGACTACTCTCTGTTTAAGTGTAGAGGTTCGTAAAGCAATCAGAACTCCCTCATCCATGTGCTAGGATTGCTCACATTCTTAATCGTTTAAATGTGTCTTTACGTTACTAACGATTTATACACGATATATCACATTTTTAAATCTCTGTGTATTTACTAATAAATTAGCTTACATCACAAGCACAAATTAATCCGTCATAAGAAGATTCAGTTGTAAATATTCTAAATCCACAAGTATACTTAGTAATTGTAAATTTGCTAGGATCAATTTCTTTATTGCCTTGTGAGCTATTCTGAATAGCAACATTGTAATTTGTATGTCCTAAATCATATGGGAAATTGGCAACAGCAATATAAACAGAAATTCCATTGCCTTTTGTTAATGGTGTCATAAAATAAGTGTGCTTAATTAAATCTGCCTTTAAGCTATCAATCTCGTTATTTGTATATACTCTAATATACTGAATATCTGACAATGTAACCGTACTAAATGAAGAATCTTTTGTAATAATAAAACCGATTTTTGTTACACCACTTGGGACAGTAACAACTACATCTTTTGATTGATAATCCACATAAGAAACTTGTGCAGAATCACTAAAGAAACGTACACGATATATAGGTAAATTACATTCGATATGAAGTAAATCCCCTGCTTTAACATTGAAAAGATTGGTGTTACAAATCTGATCTGTTTTATCTGATTTTGTCAAATTAGCATTCCATGTAGCTCTACTTAACTGATTATCAAACTTACTCAACAACCCTTGTGCGTTTAAACTCTCATTTATTTTAGCATTAGCCTCGTTTCCATCAACACTCATTGTCTTTGGTGTGCCTAATACATAATATAGATAAACTCCATTATTAGCATTCTGGAAAGCTGTAGCATCACTATATGCGCTGTCTTTGAAATACACTCTATCGTTTGTTCCATGTCGATATGTGAATGTCTTATCAGCTAAATAATTATTAGCTTGTGTGTTTCCTTCAACTCTTGCATCATCAACAAATGTGTACTTTGAGCCAAACAATTTTGTAGAAATTACATTTTCTGTGTAAAATACACTAGTCCCAGCAACTCTAGTCCAAGAACATTTGCCCATATCAACTCTATCTACGTTCTGTGTGAAAGTGTTTCCACTTACAGAATTTACAACACCTAAACCACTTGGAACTGTCCAACCAAGCATCTTTTGGTCAATTAAAGTATTATTTAACGTGCCAAGTTGCTTGTTAGACATTACCCATTCTGCATAAGGCAAAACAGAAGAACCTTCAACACACATAAAGTTTTCAACAGAACAACTTGTAGCACCAGCCGCATATACACCTACAACAAGTAAACCTGTATAATCTGCTGTAAACGTATTTGGTAAAGCTACATTTGACAGTGAGGAAATAGCTGTACCCCATGTCTTATCCTTGTAACCAAACACTCTCCTGTCTGTATTTGCTGAAATTGTGTAAGTCTTACCATTTTCAACTTCCATAACAAAAGTAGTGAAGAAACAATTAAATGTTGTGCTTCTAGTTCCTGTCACTTTATTATTGGTTAAAGAACTATAAGTCCATTCATTAGAATTTGTATTATATGAGTTGTCTAGTTTTGCTAAGTTTACTGAACCACTCTTTTCACCATAAGCCAAGTTACTTAAACCGTCATTTAAGTCAATAACACGATTATCAATAGCATCAATTCCAGATTCAATGTTGTTCAAGTGAGCTGCATCAATGTCTGGTGCGTTATCATCTACCCAATTAGTTCTGTTATATAATTTATCCATAATTAAATTACCTCCAATAAAAAAGAGCAACCTATTAAAGACCACTCTTGTATTTATTAATTATTAACCTAAAATCTTAGTTATCATTACATCACCAATGTTAAAATAAACATTTCCACCAGTATCAACAGTTCTGCATGAAAACTCTAATATATCATCCTTTTTAAATGGATATGTGAATGTTACAAGCTGAATGTTTGCACCAGTGTTTCCAGCCTTTGCAGTGCTACATTGGATTGAATAAGCTGCCATTCTGACAAAGTTGATAAAAGGTGTAAAATCACCTCTTACATTTGCTACAGACGAATAATAGCCAACTCTAGCTGTTACAGTACATAAGCAATCCCTTTTAAACTTAATTGAACTATTGGTTGTCTTTGTGTAGTAATCTGTATCTTGATTTGCTATTGTTGAAAAAGCATTCAAGAATGTTTCGGTGTTGTAATTTGCAGAAGTCCAACCAGAATTGCCATATCCATGACCGATAATTCCATAACCACCACCAATAATATGACCTTTTTCATCTACTTCAAAAGCATTTTTTCTATTGCTTGCACTACCATTACCAACAACAAACAATGATTTAGATTCTTTATTGTACTTTCCAACAACAGTTTGATTAGGTTCACTTGCTATAGTGCCTTGACCTTCTGCATGAGAAGCATATCCACTTGCTATTGTTTCGTAACCTTCTGCATGACTAAAATCATCACTAGCTTCTGTCATATATCCTTCTGCGTGACTAAAATCTCCTGTTGCCTTTGTTGTATTACCTTCTGCATGACTAAAATCTCCTGTTGCTTCTGTATATAACCCTTCTGCATGACTTCCGTAACCTTCTGCTGTAGTTCCTTGTGCTTCTGCATGACTAAAGTTTCCACTTGCAACATTATTTAAACCATTGGTAAATGATAAATTACCAACATCACCACTACCTCTAATTCCAAATGTTCCATGACCATTAACATCAATGTAATCATCTGCAATATCTATTTGAGGTGTACGAATATGTCTATTATCCAAATCAAATTTAATACCAGATTTAACTGATCCAGATATAATGTTTCCATCATCATCATACTCAATATCACTCTCTTGGTAATCTCTTGATTTTAATACACCAGCAACAATACTATCTGCTACCATATTGATTACTCTAACTATGTTTGCATCAATAGTACCAGTCTTAATGTAATCACCGTTGATAATTGTTTTAGAATTGTTCAATAAGTCTGTAAATGATACCATACCAGCCAAATCAATATCTGCTTCTTCACTGATTGACACTGGATTTCCTTCTGCATCTAACATTCTTATCTTCATTCCAACCGACTTACCTTTTCCAGTAATAAGTATCTCAACTGATTCTGGCTTTTGGTCTATCATGGAAGTAAGTGAATCTGCTTTTGTTTCTAGCTTAATATATGTACTCCAAGACGTTCTACCAAACTTATATGTCTGTCCTGTTTCCATATCCAAATAAATATCATCTGTGACTTGCTTACCACTCCAAACATCAGTGTTTAACTCTGGAATACCATAAGCATAGAATTTAACTGTAATTGGATTTCCTTCTGCATCAACTTCATTGTAAGCATAAGTTGTTTTTGCAACTGTTGTTTTAATCTCTCTTGCTGTTTCCTTTAACTCCGATTCAAATTCTTCTCGTAATGTATTAATCTGTCCTGTTGTACTGTCTGACGGTGCTGGTGTCCATGAAGTAGCTTGTTTTCCTTTTTCAAGTTTAAATTTAGGAACTTCCCACCCAGCTACACTATCACCATAAACTCTTATATATCTTAAATATTGTGCTTTTGGTTTAAATGTGAGTGAAGGTTTAATCAATGGAATCCTACCATAAACAATTTCTGGCACAACCATACCCTCTACATCATAATGCAACTCAAACATTATTGTTGGTGGTAAAGCACCTTCGCTGTCATCATTATAATACAACCCCAAACATGAAAATGTATAATCTTCTTCTAATTCCATTCTAGGATGACACTTAAAGTCTGCGTAACCATTTGCATCAAACACAATTACTCCACGCTCATTGTCAATGGTAGCACCATGTAATTCCCATACATCATTGAAATCTGCATTATTCAAATCACTTTTAAGCAATAAGTTCTCACCAGCGATTCCAAGTTCTTGCAAATAATCTTTTGTTGTGTAAGTTTCTTTAAATTTTGCTTCCAAACCTCTAGCAGATGCACTAATTTGACCTTCAAGATTTTGTTGTAAGTCTGTCATTTGAATGGAAATACCTTCTGCTGTTTCATCAATTTTTGTATTAAGACCTCTTGAAATATCACCCATTTCACGTCTGTAACCATTAATATCTTCCACAACCTTGTTATACTTGCCCTGTATGCTCGTAAATTCCCTTGTAATAGGACTTATGTACTGTTGTTGAGATTTTGTACCCTGTGCTACTAAATTGTTTGAAATAGCCTGAATACCGTTTAATGAACGTGTCAATGCAAAAGACGTAAACTTTGTTTCCAACACATCATTCTCTCTTGGAATTTTAGCGTATACATCAAATACAGTACCAAGCTGCAAGTCTAAACTCTTAGCAACAACTAAATTGCATGGTGTATAGTAGAATACAGAATAAATCTTAAACAGATTCTTTGCAATTTCTTCTAATTCTTCCTTTTCTTTGCCAAAAGTTAAAGGATTGGAAATTATTGAATACACGTTTTCAGCATTTTTCTTAGTGCTATACAAAACACCAATATCATCAGCTTCCATTCTAATAGCAATTCCATCAATCTTATCTGTTGTAAAGTCTTTGAAATCACAACTCTTATAGATTGTAACGTCATTTGGTGAATCGTAAGCATTTGAAGAAGGATATAAACCTTTATGTGGATATAAACCTTTTCTTGGATATAAAAGACCTTTTTTAAAGTCGATAAACTCAAACTGTCCTTCATTGTTAATATGACCAAAGACACCAATAATCTCACATATATATTGCATCAATGCTCTAGCACTTAAAGATGTTGGCTCAATAGTCTTTCCAATACTCATATCAAAGTTTGGATAATCTTTACCAGTGCTTCCAGTATCAACCTCAACTCTAACCATGCTACAGATAAAATTGAACAATTCTCTTACTGTATGTTCATTGCCATCTGAGAAAAAGAAGTTGTATCTATCTGAAAAGTCTACATCAAACTTTGTCATGTTATCGTATGCTACAATCTCTTTCCACATTCTGTCTGCTGTACGTTCTGCCGAGAATACATTATATGTTCCAAGTTTAAAACTAAAGTTTCTGTCAATGCTATCCGTAAACTTAATGATTACATCCATTTGCTGATTAACAACATCTGCATCAAAATCAGCAACTTTAATCTTAAAACAAGCAGCATTACACTTACCAAACTGAATCGTGTCACCTTCCAACAATGATTCTTCCAGGCTTAAAGCTTCTGAATATATATCCTTATTCTTAAAAACAAGATTGTTCATTTCTGGAAAGCGCAACTCAATATCAACTTGGCAGCTATCACTATTCATTATTTCCTTTTCTCGATCTGTGAAATTTATCATTTATTCACTTCACCTCCGTAAGAAATAAAAGCTACTCTAGTTTCGTTGTATTTTAACTTATTCTGATTACCAACCTTGTATGTTGTATAAGGTGTAAATGTTATATCTGGAACATAGAAATCATGTGTAACATAATCATCTAGTTCTGGCATATAAACACTAGCTCTAAGCTTCTTTTCTGTCTTATCAGTATATCTTGCACGTAGTTTAGACATAAAATCATTCATTCTGTCTGAATCCATAAAAGGCAGATTAAATTCAACCTTTGGAGCAACATACTTTAATGCTGTTCTGTGTAATGATCCGTCTGCATCACGATAACTGTCTAAATCTTGACCATGTAAAGCAGCTTGGTATGTCTCTGCTCTCATATAACTTAATGGAATATTCCAATCCTTAACAGCACCAGAAGTACCCATTATTCTAACAAAGTAACCATTAAAACCCATTCTTTAATCACTTCCTTTACTACAATAAAAAAGGACACTACCCGAAAGTAATGTCCTATCTATTTAATTAAAATGCTGGAATACCATTTCTTCTTGCGTAATCTTGTGCATACTGTCTTGTGCTATCAAATACAACCTTGCCATCCAAATAAACTTGAATAGGCTGAGAACCATTACTCATTGCAGCCTGCATAGCACTAAACACCGAACTATACATAACGCTTGCCATTTGTGATTGGTTCAACACCTCTGTTCTTCCACCAATATTGGTAACTGCTTCAGCACCATTTTCGCCAGCAACAAATAAAGTTCCATGTCCTGGAATACCACCAGAAGCAAATTGTGCTATATTATGCCAAGCTCCACCAAAGAAAGCACCACCATTAGCTTTTCTACTAGCCTGTTCTTGTATAATCTTATCAGTAATACCTTCGGCTGTACTTGCCATAACTTTACCAACTTTAGCTGTAAACACCATTGTTGTATCAAGTCCAGCAGCTTTATACCAAGATGATATTTTAGCTTTGTAGTTAATTGAATCAACTGTACCATCTTTTGCATCTTTTTTCATTCCAAGCAACCATGATGTCATTTTTGCAACAAAGTTTATGTACTTATTATTTCCTAAACTTTCAAGCCAAGAAGTAAGTTTGGCACAGAAATTTACATACTTATTTTTACCAAGACTATCCAAGAATCTTGTCAACTTAGCACAGAAGTTTACATATTTATTGCCACCTAGACTTTCAAGCCATGTGGTTAATTTAGCACAAAAGTTTACATATTTATCCTTACCAAGATTTTCTAACCATGTTGTCAACTTGGCACAGAAATTAACGTACTTCTCACCACCCAGTTTTTCCAACCAAGAAGTAAGTTTTGCACAAAAGTCAATATTTTTATCTCCAACGAGATTTTCCAACCAACTTGTAATATTTGCACAGAAGTCAATGACATACTCTCCAACTTTAAAAGCAGATTGGATTTTGTCCATTATGTTACTAGAAATCCATTCTTTTATATTAGAAATGGTATTAATCATTCCCTCTTTCAAGCCTTCCACGCAGAAAGCACCCAACTTTGCAAACTCGGTGCTAGGTGAGTTGATTCCGAAAAATTTCTTAACTGCATCAATTACTTTTTGGAACGCATCACGAACCCATGTAGCAGATTCGTTAAGATTATCCTTAATTCCTTTAGCAAGTCCATCAACAATATTTGTTGCAACTTCTTTCACCTTCTCTGCTGCATCATCACCCCAGAAAGTAGAAACTATATTGGTAATAACTTGCAATCCTGTTTCTTTAAACCTTGTAGCTGCATTATTTGCCAATTCTCCAACAGCACCAAACAATAACTGAGTAAGTCCACTTAAAATTGAAGCTGCTAAACTAGCTGCACTACCAATAAGTTTTGCAAAATCTAAGCCTTCAAGAAACTCTATAATCTTCTCTCCAACAACATTCCATTCAACATTGGAAATTGCACTTGTAAGCGTACTGACAATTCCAGTAGCAAGTGACATTAATGTCATTCCAGCACCTTTAAAATCAAATGTTTCAAAGAATTTATTTATTGTACTTGCAATACTCTTTCCAAGATTAGACCAATCAAATACATTAGCAAAAGTTCCAACAGCACCAAATACAGTATTTAAAGATTCTGCAAGTGTCTCTCCAACAGCACCGAATAAGTCTGGATTGATAAAGCCATTCAAGAATGTAGCAATACTCTTAGCAATCTTGTTAGCTGTTGTCTTAATTCCATCCCAATTTATGCTATTCAAAGCATTGGTAATCTTATCAGCAATATCTCCACCAATATCTGTAAAGTCTGCGTTCTTCCATGCTTCCTTAAAGCGTTCTGCCATGCCTTTAGCACTTTCACTAATCTGTTGTGTGCTAAACAAATCTCCAACATTAGCAGCACCTCCGCCACCACCAGAACCACCACCACCTTGATTAGATGATAGGTTGTTCAATTCGTCAAAGCCTTGTAACTGTTGCTTTAACTTCTTGGCACTTCCACTAGCCTTATCTAAACTCTCTGCATAATTACTAGCATTATAACTAGCCTTAGTCCATGTACTATTACCAAAGATTGCATTTACAAACTGATTAATAGCATTGATAGCATCAACTATCTTCTGGATCAAGAAATCAATTATTGGAGCAGCAAAGTTAATCAATGGCTCAAAAGCTGTAACAATTACTCTTCCAAGATACTTAAAATTATCTACAATGGAAGAAACACTCTTATTGAAATCACTTCCAATAGTATTTGAGTATTGTGCTAACTGATCTACCGCTTCTTTCATAGACTTAAACACTTGCATGATAAATCTACGAAGTAACATTGCTCTAAACATTGTTGCTAGTCTTGTCAAAGGTCTCATTAACTTCTTGGAAAGGTCTGAAACTACTTTCATAACAGCACTAGAAAACTTTGTAAGTGCCTTATTGGAACTAGCAAATTGCTTTGCGAAATCAAAGTTGCCTTTTTTACCACTTGTAACATCTTTACCACTTTCTTGAAGTTCACGCATCTTTCTAACCAGACCGTCTAATTCTGCCCTTGCACCCTTAATATCAATTTGTAATTTCTGATAGCGTTCCGTATTAGGATTTGCTTTTGACATTAAAGCCTGTTTTTGATAAAGCTTTTCTAACTTTTGAGAAGCCTTATCAATGCTTGTTTCAAGATTTGTGTATTCTTTTGATAATTCTTGACCTGGCTTAACCTGTGTAGGTGCATAAGCCGATAATTGTTTTACTTTATTTGATACAGAATTAAGTTTTTGTTGTAATTCTTCTGCTGCTCTTACTTCCTTCTCAAATTTAGCCAATTCATCTTCCGTTTCTTCATAGAAATAACTTCCCTTTGGAATACCAGCCCTACTTTGATTTTGCAATGCTCTTATTCTTTCAAATTCACCTTCCTTTAATGGTTTTCCATTATCGGCTGGCTCAATTCTAGTAAAATTAGCAAGTGAATTACTATTAAACTTTTCTTGTGCTTTTTGAAGTGCTTCAATAGCATTTCTAGCCTTAATTGCCTTATTTGTATAATCTTCCAATCCAGTAAGACTTTTCATTGGATTTGACTTAGACATTATATTCTTCATCTTATCCTGTGCAGTAGTAAGTTCTTTCTGCCATTGCTGAATTGACTTACTGTAAATATCTTTAGGCATTAAGTTTTTATTATTCTTCTTTAACTGTTCAATAAACTGTCCAGCTTCACGTCTTGCCTGTGCTGTGTTTCTAGTCATTTTCTCCATGTTGGAAGCCATATCACTAATAGCTTTACCACCATTGCTAGAATTAAAATTCTTTATTCTCTGTTGTAATGCGTTAAGAGCAAGTAAAGCCTTTTTATCATTTACTTCAACATCAATGACTAACTTACTGATTGATTCTCCGTCTGCCATACTTTCACCACCTTTGTATCAAAAAAAATAGGGTGACAGACACAATATCCATCACCCATATAATTCTCTTTCATTTACTTTATATTAACTTCTGGTAATCCAAGTTGCTTATCATTCATTCTCCATTGCTCCTCATACATTAACATTTTGCGAAGTTCCTTATTATCTCTTTCTTCCTCTGTTAAATCCAAATCCTCATAATACTCTTTAAGCAATGGTTCTTTTGGATATTCACCTTTTTCACTTAATACACTTCCAACAGCATATCGAATGTATTGTCCTAACCAAAAGTTATTTTCATCTTCCATTCTTCTTCTTAGATGGTATGCTTTTTCATAAGGCTTTATCTTTCTTGGATTCAGCGTATAAAACTTTTCTTCCGTAATACCAATGCTTAAAGCATATGGTAGTAATTCATTTTCTATCATTTCTCTAAATGAATTATATTTTCTTTCTTGTACGTTTTCTCCTAACTCTTTCGAGTTTACGCTTCCTCTGTCGTGGGTGTGTCCTGAAAAAAATGACTATATTCCATTTCATCTGAAATAACAGACATTATTTCATTAAAATCTCCACCATTTTTAAGATGTAATCCTAATTCTTTTCCAGCTTCTTTAACATCAACATCCATACAAATACCAACATATGCCCTAACCATAGACATAGGTTTTTTTTTCTACATCTTTCATATCGAAACCCATATCTTCTAAGTCACATACCAAATTGTAGTCAAATTCCTTAACAGGATATTTTTTACCATTAATTGTAATATTCTTCTTTCTTGCAGCCATAATATTTCCTCCCATCTGCAATAAAATAGGGCGAGATAAACCCGCCCTTATGATCAAAAATCAAACAAATTATTCTTCTTCGTCAGTTTCGTTATCCTCGTCTAGTGGCTCAACTGACATTGCCATTCGACTTGCTATTTTTTTGCTACAGTAAATGTTCCATCACCATTATCTGTAACTGTGTAATCATCAGTCACCTTTGCAGCAGCAGTGTTTGGAATAACTGTTACAGCCATTTCCAAAATACCATCAGCACCAGAGTTATCAGTAGGTGTAGCAGAAAACTGTCCTACATATGCGTACTTAGCAACGCCACCTACACCATCTGTACCATATAACTGCATAACCTTGTACTTCTTTGACTTATCAAGACTTTCAATAGCGTCAAGATACTCTTTCTCTAAGTTACCTGTGATCTCCTTAGATGAACTCTGCTTAATACCCATTTCAAATGTCTGCGAATCATCCTCATAAGTTGTACTCTCAACTGTATTAGGTGCGCTAACAGGTGCTGGCATAGATTTTGACTTAACAAGTAACTTGTAGGAACCTGAGAAGTCAACATTATCTAAATCAGAAACTGGTGTTTCACAAAAAATTGCTCTAGTCAAATAATTTGTACTTGCCATTTTAATTACCTCCATACATAAAAAAATAAGACCTATACGGTCTTTAAAAATTGTTACATTATATCTTCACTTCCGATAAAACGATTAAATCGTAAAATCAATCGGTAAGTTGTAGATTCGTTTTGAAAAACAGGTGTTGTAGTTGAAAAATGCAATGAGTTCATCACTTTAACAACTTCTTTTGCCACCTTCCTACAAGTTTCCTGGTCTTTATCAGAATATATTTCAACTTGATATGCTGCGTTAATACCATTAACTTCATCATTCTCCAAGTCTTTACCGACTTCATTTCCAGTAATTTCATGGAAGTACACCGTTGGAAACTTTGTTATCTTATTCATATTAGAAGTAGTAAAACTAATATTAGGATAAGTGCTTATCAGCTTTTTCTTCACTTTATATTCAATATTAGTAAATACAATACTACTCACATCAAATATCCAATCAGATCCAATCATCTAAACACTTCCTTTGCTACCTTAGTTACTTCTTCCTTCATTTTTAAAAATGCTTTATACATTGGTTGTGTAGGCGTAATGGCTGTACCTCTTTTCCATTTTGTAACATTTCCATTTTCATCTACTTCTTCTGCTATCCACCAATCTGTATCGTTATTATGGCCACCAGTAGACAATTCTCCTTTATGATTTTCCTCATTAAAGGCTTCACTTCCACCTACAGCTTTTGCAGCAGTACCAAATTCAATCATAAGTAATGGGTTTACAGTTCTTGAAACTTGAACACCACCATATGTATACCAAAATGCTTCAAAAGATTGTCCAGTTCCAATGATAAGTGAGTGAACACTACCATCTTCATTCTGTATTTCTTTCTTAAATGTAACTAATGAACCCATTTGATGAGTACCATAAGCACCATTTACATCTACTGCATTTTGTTCACATACAGAAATTCCAACATCTAAAAGTTTATTGCAAAACTCTTCTGACTTTGAACGCAACTTTTTAGCATATGATTCAATATCTTTACTTACTTTTTTCAACGATTCTTGATTGATTTTTATAGCAAACATTTACTTATCCTCATGATTTAAAACAACCAAATAAAAAAGGTCCTCATTAAGACCTTCTCTAAGCACTCCACGCACTTCATAATCGGCTGAATCTTGGTCTATAATAGTTTTACTCTCATCCTTATATAAAACCTCTGAATTAAGCCATATACGAGTTCCTACAACAAATGGAAATCTATCCTTACTTGCTGTAATTTGTGCATGATTATCTGAATTATCTACACCGAATGCTCTCACTATTGCATCATTCAATTTACCATTGATATTTGTTTTAAATGGAATTGCATCACCATAGATTAACTCTTTTTCTCCTGTTGGAATAGGAATTTGAATAACACTTCCATCTTCCTTGATTTCTGTGTATTTTATATTTCCATACTCATCTTTCTCATAAACATCTTGCCAACCTATTCTCTGTGAATAATACATATTCTGTTTATTCTTCTTCAACATCCTCATAATCATTCACCTCTGGCAATCCTGTTGCTATAGAATTTAAAACCGAAAGAATGGTAGATAATGCAACTGTACTTAGTACAACCATCCAATTCACTTCATCTAACAATGTAGCAGAACCAATAGCACCAATAGCAACTTGACAAGCTGTTCTCAATGCTCTAACACCTGTTGCTTTCCAAAATTGCTTATTCTTCATGCCTATCATCCCTTCTTTCTAATCTATCAATTCTTTTGTGTGCTGATTTACAACTTGCTTCTGTTTCTACTAGACGTTCATTTAATGACTGAACATCTTTTCTAGTAGCTGTAATATCATACTTAATATCATTAACTGTAGAAGATATGCTATCTAGTTTGGCATTTGTCTTAGCTGATTCTGCCGCCCTTCTTTCAATATCTTCTGTGTCTGTATGCCTACTATTCTTAAGACCAAAGTAAATTGAAAATGCAGCCGATAAAAAACTAACTAATAATGCAACTTCAATAGTCATAAGCCTACCTCACTTAGTTAAAATATCCGTTATCCCACCACATAAAAACGGAAATCCCTTGCAACTATTACATCTGGGAGTGAATGCAATAATCACGCACTACCTTACTTGTTTATATAACAGTTGCGTAAGTAGCAACACCGTCATATGCACCTTTACTCAACCATGTAGAATCATATTCTCTTGTAATACCATTCTCTGTGTGAGTTAATTCTCCCTCAGCTCCAGCCTTTGAATAAACAGTTACACATTCACTAGCTATCTTATTCTTATAACCACTTAATTCACTAACAATTTGTTCTTCATTAAATGATTTTGGGAAATTGATATAGTTAATGTATGATTCAACTACAATATCAATAATGGAAGAAGGAAATCTCTCAATAGGCTCGCTATCGTCTGTTTCATTCCAATATTGTGTAGCCTTTGTATTTATAATTTCTAATAATTCTTCCATACTAATACCTCTTAATACTTCTTAGGCTTTCTACCTCTTTTATTTTCCACAACCTCTTTAACTTCTTCTTCAACAACAACAGGGACAGATTTTTCGGTCTGCCCCTTTTCAAAAGATAATTCTTTAGTTGTTGTAATATGAGTTAGGTTGTGTCGTCTTAACAACATACCCATATGGATTCCTCCGTTTTAAAATTAAGCGTTTTCGTCGCCTTCTGGAGTTGTAGGCTTAACTGGATTAGCTTCGCCATGTAACTTAATCTTAATAGCCTTTGAATCATTTAAGAGATAAGTAGTCATATGCTTATCTGCTGTAATTACAGTAGACTTATTAACAATATCTCTATCTGTTTCAATCATTGTATCTCTCTTTAAGAACAATGCTAATGCACCTGGCTTAACAATGTAAGCGTGTTTATTCTTAATTCTGTTTGATACAACTACTTGGCAACCGTAAATCTCACCAACAGCACCCTTTACAATGATGTTTGCTGCAATCTCAGAAGCTGGCAACCAGTTAGAAGCCTTTCTTAACTCAGCATAAGTTGCTGGATCAACAACAAGTACCATTTCACCATCAATGTCCTCACCGAACAATGCAAGTGCGTTAGCTACATCATCTGCTGTAACCTTATTACTAGCAGCTTCAAATACTGTTGTTGTATTTCCTTCAAGGTCTGCAACTAAGTCATTATCAATCTTAGATGCGATTGAAATAGCCAATTGATTTACATACTCTCCAACAGGATCGCCATAACCAGATAAAACAGCTTCATCTGTAATCTGTGCGCCATTTGCGATTTTCTTAACCTTTACAGGTACAGCAGTCTGTGTCAACTGACGAATAGGAATGTCAGCACCTTCTGCTACTACTACTGCATCACCAATGTATGCGTATTTTGGTAAACTAACAGTATCACCAGCTCTACCAACTAAGTCTGTGTTTACTGTTGCAAGTGGTGCAAATTTAATCATATCAATTAACTTAACATCAAGCATTGCACCGATAACTTCTGGATCAATAAGATTTGCTAACTTTGTAGCGTTTGTGTCTAATGCCATATCGCATTACCTCCTAATTTGAACTAAATTTTTTATATGTTTCTGGGTACTTTTCTTTAAATTCCTTCATTTCCAAGTAACCCAATTTTTTGAACTGATCTTGTGTAATGTTCACATCCTCATTACCAGAACCAGCATTTACCAAAGGTCTACTAGCCATCCATTCAGCTTCTTTCGCATCAATTAAGGCTTTTTGAACCTGTGATTGAATCTTGAATAACGAATCTGTATCGTTTTCATACTGTGCGATTGCTGCCTCATGTGCTAAATCATCTGGATAACCCAAAAGCACAAAATTCTTTTCAAGTTTGTTTACCTGATTCTCTTTAAGAAGTTTTTGGAATTGTTCTTCCCTTTCAGCTTCTTTTTCTGCTTTTTCAACACTTGCTTTCTCTACTTCACTTAGACTTTCCTTATACTTTTTCTTGTAATCAGAAGCCTCTGCACACGCTTTGTCTGTTGCTCTTTTTAACTTTGCAATTTCAATCATTGCCTGCTGCAACTGTTCTTCTACGCTAAGTGTTTTTTCTTCTTTCTTCTCTTTTGTTGTTGGTTGTTGAGTTACCTTTGTTTCTTCAACTTCCACATTTGCGTTTTCTTCGTTACCCATATTTAATTACCTCTACTTTCTGCGTTTTTAATTCTTCTCTGAATCTTTTCTTGTGCGACATTTGTTTTAATGTCTGCTTTCTCTAGCCGACAAAATGTATTAAAAAAGGACACGATTTCTCGCATCCTTAATTGTTATGAGTATGATAAAGAGCATCTACAATTGACACATTCTTCATCTGTTCCATTTTCATAATCCTTTGGCATCATCATTTGACAATTACCAACATCAAACATTTCTTCAATTTTTATTCTTTTACCATCAACATATCTATGCGTATGTCTTACTCGTCTATCTTGCATTGTGTGCCAAGTCTTATGTGTTTTACCCATTGTTATTGCTTCTTGCAATTCTTCATAATTGAGTACAACATTACTTTCATTCTCAGCATCAAATATTGACCTATCTTCTGACGTATACCAAGCATTATCAATATTATCTATTGTTGAACTGATAATATCGTCTGTCATATCTTCAATGTGTTGTTTTATATATTCATCAATTACCACATAATCAATAATTGCTTGTATATATCTATCCATGAACTGATTTTTAATGCTATCAGTATCAATTAAATCAACACTATCGTAGAAAAGAATCAAATAAAAAAGGAAGTCGATTGCATCTTTCAACTTCCTAGCTACTTCTATTCGTTTTCTTTTATCTTCTTCTGGTATATCCATTACTTTAAAATATTCTTCAAACGGAATACCACGTTTTTTGAAATTAATGTTATTTACTTCATCAATTATCTGCATAAGCATTACCCTTTAAGACTAGGACTATTCTCTGATTGATCACTTTCATCTTGACTAATTCTATCTGCATCTGGTTCACTTTCGTCAATGCCACCAACAGCATTGTTTTCTGTTTCTTTTGGCGCAAATACACTAGCTTGGTACATTTCAATCATTTCTTTAGAATCTTCCCAAACTTGGTTTACATCTTCAAAAGCATTCATTGCTTCAAGTGCGTGTCTACCGTTAATACCATGACTAACAACTGTAGCAAAGAAATTAGCCTTTGTTGTCAACTCATATGTCTTTTGACGTTTGATATTTGGCTTAACATCACAATGTCTTAATTCACGCAATGGACTATCAACTGGAACATTTCTTGATTTCAGTACTCTGCGTTGATACCACTGCTT